ATGCAGTATTTGTAGACAATTTCAAGACAAATTCAACTTAGCCCGACGAATAATGGGTTGAAGGCAGAAGAAACCACCTGGAGCCTTCCAAAAACACGTCCGTCGCTTCCAAATCCTACCGCACCAACATCTTTATATTTAAGTATTCTTTTTGATTGTCTGGCATGGTAGTAGAGGGCACGATTTGTTTTGGTGAGGCTCTCATTGATAGACTGAAGCCAAGATCTTTGGCTGTACCCGCATTCTTCCTGGCAGCAAAAAACTTATCTTTGCGGCGTACAAATTTTACAATAATATGGCATGGTTATAATAATTATAATGGCAGGGTTAGCTCCTGACCGGGGTTTAGGGAGTCGGTGGGATACGCTGATATCATCAGTCGTTACGTTGACCCTCATATGCTCCGCTGCTCTGGCCACCAGATTGTTTGTAGATTCATTTTCAGTTTGAGGTAGACCAGAGATGTCGATGGTGTCCCTGCGGCCATATTGTTCTAAATCGTTAATCCTAGCATTGGTTGCATTCAGGTTGCGTTCTAGTGTATTTACCGTTGATTTTAGGATTTTGTTTTATTCCTCAATTACTTTCATTCTGTTAAGGGCTCTTTCTAGGTGTAGCGTAGTTTCCTCGTATTGAGAGAAGAGGAACTCTTGGCGGATTTTAATCTCGTTTAGTTCTTTATGCAGGGAGGCTATTTCATTCTCTATAGAATGTCTCACCTGTGCATCAACACGTTCTATGGACGCCTTTAGTCGTTGCTCCATGCTTAGGAGATGACTCTCGTCGTCTTCGTTCTCCGGAATGGCAGAGGTCAAGTCCTTCGAACGTTTGGAGCAAGACATCGCCTGGCCGGGTGGATGATGGAGCTCAGTAGGCTGAGTAGATGTAGTCCTCGTAGATAGTAGTAATACAGTGAGTAGATGATCGGTTTGCTGAACTGGTGAGTGGTGAGTCCTCGTCAACAGTCCCGGTCAACGCCAACGGTGTTGCGGTGATATATGTCACTTCCGGTTGTTTACTTCCGTCTTTACCAGATTCTTTTAGTGACTTAATTCTGGCAGAATTTTTTTTAAATAGCGGACTTGGCCTTATTTTACCACAGCCTCAGGTATGTGTGTGATAAAAACACACTGATTAGTATATAGTAGCAGTACAGGTGATGGTTGCTCCGGATTTCGTGGGTTCCGGAAGTGCCGATGGAGAAGGAAATAATGGGGTAAATATGGTGGGAAACTCAAGTGTAGAACAGGTATGAATTTATCGATCGTAGGTGCAGGATGTCAGGCTTGTTAGGTGCACAATCAGATGCGGGTTAGATGTGCTGATATTCTTTACGGAGCTGTTGAGTTGGAATCTGTAGGTGTGAGGAGAAGATTTGTGGAGTTATAGGATGATTGTTTGGAGAGAAGACGAAGCAAATTACGTTCAGTCGGCCATCTTTCTAATCAAAGCCTATTGAAACTCCAGCGTGCACCAACTACCACGTCGATGACTGTCCATACATCGAAGCTCATCTGGTTGAATTGGCGGGAAATTGACCAGAGTAGGTGCAGTCAGCTGGTATGTATAGCTTCACGTCACACTAGCTACATTCGCGAGCTATTTTACTGATAAAAATGTTTCCGAACTCGTGGCTATGTAGGACTATATGTTGTAGTGCGATTTGAAGGTTGAGGAGTCGATAGCGTGGTAGCGATGTAGCAAATAGCAGATTGTAGCAAAGTAGATGAGATGTAGTGAAGAGTCGTTCGGCGGATGATTGCAGAGTCATGTTAGTCAGGTTCCAAATGAGACAGAGTCGCAGATTAGTTGTAGGTAACTCTGTCTTTATTACTTGACACATATGCAAATATATACACTATACGGCAACCTAGGTAACCATGCCTATAGGTTCCGCGTCTCGTCTCCGTAATCTCCTTTACATGATGTTGCCTCTCATGAATATATTTTTGCTCTCTCTCTCCGAGCGCCCATTTATATCGATTCTAAAACGGGCAGAACCTCACCACAATCCAACCAGTTTTCGTCAATTACCGGCCGGGCCCTGATGGGGCTAGGGTGCGCGGTGGTCCCGAATACGATGTCCCACACGATCATCCCAATAACAACAACAATCTACCAGGGCCAGAAGCACAGCACAATTAGTCCCACTGCCTCGTATGGTTAGAAGCCTCTTGTTAATTAGCCGCAATATATGTACAATACGACATTTACTTTCTTAGATATATCTGCCCGTGTCTAGTCCATGCATATTTATATTTAAGTATTCTTTTTGATTGTCTGGCATGGTAGTAGAGGGCACGATTTGTTTTGGTGAGGCTCTCGTTGATGAACAGAGGGCTGGTCGAACTGAAGCCAAGATCTTTGGCTGTACCCGCATTCTTCCTGGCAGCAAAAACTCTAACATTGCGGCGTACAAATTTTACAATAATGGCAGGGTTAGCTCCTGACCGGGGTTTAGGGAG